GCATTGCTTGTTTTTATCATCTTTCGTAGGGTTCTCCATTAATTGATTTTTGCAGAATTAATCTATGTTTAAGGTAATCAGCTATGGCGGCTGCTGGACCCTTAAATATTCGTTCCAACAACAGAAGACTTTTACGACGACTAAAAGGTGGCCGTTCGATTCGCACAGATCCCGAAGTGTATTTTTTAATTGTTAAATATGGACCCCGCCAGTCCCCTAAGCCACGGCATCGCATTTGTTATAAAGATGATGAACATGATTTAGGGCATAATGAAGAATAATTAATTATTTATTTTAGTTTTAAATAAATAAAGGAGCAGATAAAAATGATATTTTAAGTCTACTTGGGAATGGTACTTTTATCTTCATTTTATTTACTCTCGCTATCTTTGTTGAGACTACTGTATTGCTAATACTGTGAATAACAAATGGAGTTAAAAATATTCATTACTTGAATATAAGATATTTTATTTTTATTAGAATGAATTTACTTATGATTTAAGTAAAATTTTTATTTTCAATAAATAACAGATCGAGTTTATTAAAAAGATCCCAAGGAAATTATTTTTCGGAACAGAATGAATTGGGGGTTCTGCCTACTTTCAATTTCTCGTGTCTTGATCTACATCCCTGCTAGATTTGGGTTTTTTTCTTCCTACACATGGAGAAAAGAGCAAGTTAGATGGATAAAACCCATTATTTTAGAGGCAGCTTAAAGTCTGGAATGATTTGTTTTGCTGTATGTGAGAGTGGTGGGATAACATGTGAAAGACAGAAAGAGGGAGAGAAAATAGATAGAAAAGAGAGTTGGTGCAGAAAATTGTATGATTTGAGCAAATCAAACTCATGATCATAGTTAGAACTTCGGTCCGGCGGTTCCTGAGCCGGTATTTTAGCGATATGGTTATTATTTGATTAGGAAGAATTAATGGTGGTTTTTGCCTCCGCTATGCTCTCGTAGAATTGACTTGCTTGCCAACGATATTACCCAATATCTAGAGGTTGAATCATTATATAAAAATCATTGCAAGTACTGATATTATTTAGATCAGATTAGAATTAGAATATTCATTGTGGAGGGGTTGTTCTCACCACAAGCCCTAAAGCTAAATTCACAAAGAAATATTTTTAATTCATCCTTTGTATGCGCTCGCATATTGACTGATATAGGTATTAATTCTAGGTAATAGCATTACCACCGAAGCTTTCTTGTAATACGGGCGGAAGCTCATGGAGAAACTACCGTACTGGCCAAGCCACCAAGCCCAGCATGCGTATAAAACAATTGCAAACTTGAACAGGATGCTAACAATATCCATATATCTGGTAACAATTCTAGTCACCTGACTCACCGGAAGTAACCACGGTGATGAATGATGACTTCAATTTCGAGCTCCCAGAGGAATACTATTTTATGCTTGATGGCAGCTGGGAGGATTATCAGGCATCTGCTTTCAGTTGTGTGTTTATCAAGAACCCTGCTAATCAAGCAAATGAAGTTTGTGAGGCTGGAGGTACCAGCATTTGTTTCCCAC